GCGCCTCCCGGTGTTGGAGGCAGAAGTTGCTGAAATGAGAAAGCTTGAAGCTCACTTGCAACATAGCGAACAAGATAAAATGGCCCACAACTAATTACACAAAAAGCTTTAAGAGGCTAACTAAGTGGGTCGAGCTTCATGATGCTCTACTTGCTGCTGCCGAGCACCAGTCTGCTTTGAGGAACAAAACAATAATTTAAAGGTAGACTTACACTCAAACACCGAGGAGGCCAATGTTGCCGAGGAGTAGAGGGCCCGAATGGAAGAGAGGCTCAAGAGGGCCATGGATTAGAATCAGATTCATTGAACTACAAATTTTGAGCTCGACCCTCGCCTCAGTGCCATGAGATCTTAAAAGGACGGCCTTCAAGCCAAAATTAGTAGACTCCAGGCAAAGCTCCAAGACCAAGAGGATTGCCTCGTATTTGAGAAGACTTATTCTATATATCATATGTGGAGAAAATTATTGGAAGAGGCCAAAGCGGGCATCGTCGATATTGATGATTGTATCATCAAGGCCCGAGAACTGGAGCTAACTGCTCGTGAAAATCTTCCCGCTCGACCCGCTGTAACTGACTCCTTGAGAAGTGGTTTTGAATACTCATGAGCCGAGGGGGAGATCGAAGAAAATGAAAGCCCTGAACCGGTAATGGATCCGCTATCCTCTACCGGGGAAATGTAGACCCCTCTCTCCCTTCGAGCTCCGGCGGCAATGATGTATAACTTTTTTTTATCTTGTAATTATGCCAAGCTTTTCACCGATTTGACACTTTGATAAATAAATAAAGGATTTTTTGCTTAAGTGTTGTGCAAAAATATTCCTTTTATGTTTAGTTGATTAAAGCTTTAGGTATATTTCATCCGATAGCTTTTGATTCCGGGCACAAATTCTTCCGGAATCAACCCTTTACTATGAGGGTTTCATAAGAGAGGGCCCTTATGTTTATGGTTCTCTTGAAGAGGACGTCTCCTGTTTATTTCGGCAAGCATTTGGAGTTTTTGTTAACTTTCTAACGTTAAAATTAACTCATTATTTGGATAAGAAATAAGATAAAAATAAAAGGACTTTATTTTATTCTTTCTATCTTTAAATATATATAAACATTCATTTGCTAAAGTAAAAACTACCAATACATGTGGCTAACTTGTACAACTTATTTCTACGAGGCTAATCATGCAGTACACGATCTTGATGAAATATTGATCCTGATTCTCGCAGTCCCGGTTTTCGTGGTACTCCTTGTGCCGTATCAGATATTATTCCCCCCTCCCACAAGTGTTCGGATGCGAAGTATGCATATTTGAACACTGGGAAGTCTTGCTTCATCGATGGAAACAACTTGTGAACGGTTAAGTAATCTTTTTTCGGTGACGGAAGGCAAAGCTTGCCATCGTACTAAAGATTACTTAACTATCGAAATAGTTGTTTACCATCGATGTGAGAGTTTTCGTGCCTTGTTATCTAAAGGCCTTTCCTTTTTCGATGACTCTCCCTTCGTAGTATGCTTTTCATTGTTGTCTCTTTAAAAAACTTGCCAGTAAAACCTGATTGGGACAAAAACTGGACGAGGGAAAAAAGAGGCAGCACATACTTTCAGTATTGGTAGGATCCTTCAGCAATAATACCTTTTGAGGTGAGTCACATTCCAATTGTTGGGAAATTTGACTCCATCTTGATTTTCCAACTCGTACAACCCTTTACCGGTGATAGTCGAAACCCGATAAGGGCTTCCCGTGTTGGTCCCAGCTTCTCGGCATTGACTTCCCGAGTGCTCTGAGTTACCTTTCTCAAAATCAAGTCTCCCACTTTGAAGTAGCGGAGATTGGCCCTGCGATTATAATACTTTTCCATCCTTTTCTTTTAAGCCACCATCCTTACATACGCCAAATCTCTGTGTTCATCGAGCAAGTCAAGCCGCACCAGCAACGCTTCATTGTTTGCTTTTTTGTTTGTTCGAGAAAACCTTAAAGTCGATTCCCTCACTTCTACCGGCATCAGGGCTTCTGTGCCATACACGAGAGAGAAAGGTGTTTAATTTCCCCCGTGCTCGATTTCATCATTGTCGGTATTCCCATAGCATACTCGGTAGCTCTTCGGGCCATTTTCCTTTAGCAGCTTCTAGCTTGTTTTTAAGGTTATGGATAATCACCTTATTTGTAGATTTCGCTTGTCCGTTAGCACTTGGATGGTACAGTGAAGATGTAATCCTCTTGATTTTCAAATCTTCCAAAAATTTTATGACCTTTGAACCTATGAACCGCTGCCTCGTTGTCATAGGCAATTTCCTTCGGTATTTCGAATCGGCAGATTGAGTGATCCCATATGAAGTTGACCATTTCGCGCTCACCGATCTTCTGTTAAGGACTTGCTTCAACCCATTTAGTGAAGTAGTCAATTAAAATTAAAAGAAATCTTACCTTTCTGGGGCCCGGTGACAGATGGCCAACAATGTCCATTCCCCATTTCATGAATGACCATGGGGACAATACCGAATTCACGAATTATGCTGGTTTATGCACCAACTGTACATGGCGTTGACATTTGTCGTACTTCTGAATAAACATCTTTGTGTCCTGTTCCATCTGAGGCCAATAGTAACCTGCCCTGATAACCTTTAGAACTAACGAATCTGTGCTAGAGTGATTCCCACAAATTCCTTCATGGACTTCCCTCATCACGTAGTCCGTCTCTGAGGCCCCCAGACATCGGGCCAACGGTCCTTGGTAAGATCTTCTGTATAACTACCCATCCACGAGGCAATAATGAGCTACTTTGGTTCTTAATGCCTGAGAAGCCTTCGGGTCTTCAGGCAATTTGCCATGTCAAAGGTATTCGACGAACTCATTCCTTCAGTCCTAGACTAGGTTGGTTGAATTGACTTTGCAGTAACCGTCGACATCCAATACCAAATGTAGAAGTTGAATGATAGAACCAGAGTCAGATCCTTTCATCTCCGTGGATGACCCCAAATTTGCCGATGTGTCTGCTTCCATGTTTTCTTCCCTTGGAATGTGAACGATTGACCATTCTCTAAATCGTGCAAGCAACGCCTGGACATTGTTCAGATATTGTTGCATGTGTTCTTACTTTGTGTTGAAAATCCCATACACTTGGTTTACTACCAGCTGGGAGTCAAATTTCACTTTGATGACCTCGGATCCTAGTCCCCGGGCTAGCTCCAGTCCTAGAACTAAGCCTCATACTCGGCTTCATTGTTAGTTAACAGAACCGTTTTAATGTCCTGCCTCAAGGTTTCCCCGAGGGCGTAGAACTATCCCGAGGCCGGACCCTTTTACATTGGGTGCTCCATCCGTGAACAAGGTCCAGATCTCGATGCCGTTCCCCAAACCAGAACTTCTTCCTTAGCAGCCAAGGGCATTAACCTAGGACTAAAATCGGCCACAAAGTCGGCCAAAACTTGTGACATTATAGCAGTCCTTGGCTTGTACTCAATATTGAATTCACTAATTTTGACTGCTCAGTTAGCCAAGTGGTCTGACAACCCAGGCTTGTGAAGGACATTCGATAGTGGAAAATTCCTCACAACGGCTATCGGGTGGCACTAAAAATAAGGCCTAAGCTTTCGAGAGGCAACTACGAGAGCAAAGGCCAACTTTTTGAGGTGTGGATAACGGGTTTCCGCTCCTGACAATAGTTTACTAACATAATAAATTGAAAATTTCATACGTTCCTTTTCTCGAACCAAAGCGACACTTACCGCTACCTCCGAGACCGCTAAATATATTAGCAACTACTCGCCTTCCCACAATTTTGACAGTAACGAGGGGCTATGCAGATACCTTTATAGATCTTTCGGTCCCTGTTGGCATTCTGGAGTCCACTCAAAATTTTTCTTCTTTTTTATAAGTGAGAAGAAGTGATGACACTTTTCTGAGGATCTTGAGATAAACCTACTTAAAGCCGCCAACCTTCCGGCCAATCTCTGCACTTCTTTCACGCTCGTTAGCTGGTCCGGGATGTCTTCGATGGCTTTGATCTTATCGAGATTAACTTTGATCCCTCTTTGCGATACCAAGAACCCCAAGAACCTATCGGAGCCAACCCCGAATGCACATATTTTTGGGTTGAGTTTCATGTTATATTTCCTCAGGATATCGAAAGTCTCTTGGAGGTTTCTCAAATGATCTCCTACACTCAGAGACTTGACTAATATGTCATCAATGTATACCTCCATTGTTTTTCCTATCTGATTTTCGAACATTTTGTTAACGAACCTCTAGTAAGTGGCTCCGGTGTTCTTAAGCCCAAATGGCATCACATTATAGATATACGTGCCAAAGTTCGTTATGAAAGAAGTGTTTTCCTGATCCTCCAAGGTCATCTTGATTTGATTGTACCCATAGTAAGCATCAAGGAAACTCATTAACTCGTGTTTGGCCATAACATCAATCATTTGATCAATGTTTTGCAATGAGATCTTTAGGGTACACGTTATTTAAATCCTTATAATCTACGCACATTCTAAACCTGTTATTCTTTTTTGGCACTACAACTACGTTGGCTAACCATTCTGGATATTTTAGCGCCCCAAATTGAACTAATGTTGAGTAATCGGGTTACCTTTTTCTTAATAAACCCGTTCCTAACCTCCGCTATCGGACGCTTCTTTTGCCTTATCGGTGGGAAGTTTGGATCCAGACTTAGATTGTGCACAGCCACTTCTAATGGGATACCTGTCATATCCGAGTGCGACCATGCAAAGCAATCTTCGTTAGCTTTAAGATAATTTATAAATTCTAACCTGAGTTCGGGGTTGAGTTCTGTTCCCAAGTAAAACTTTCTTTCCAAAAATTCTTCGAATAGGGCCACTTGCTCGGGTTCTTCTGCGGTGGACTTGGTTGCATCCATCTCCTCCAGTACCTGAAAATATCTCTTCACCTGGTAGGATTCCGATGACTTCTCGCCTTTATTGTCTTCACTCGAAAAGGGAGAATCCATCGGTTCTTGTAATGTCTATTTGTTGGGTCCCTTCCCCTTGCTACTGGAAAATTGTAATTGCATTCATCTCCCTTGCAGACGGTTGGTCCCTGCTTATTTGCTTGATTCCTTCCATGGTTGGGAATTTCAACAACTGGTGATAGGTTGAGGGCATGACCTTCATCTCGTGTATCCACGGCCTCCCGAGAATTACATTGTAACCCATATCGCCATCTACCTCTTCGAATAAGGTGGCCTTGGTTACTCCTTCATCGTTTGTGGTTAGCAAAATTTCCCCTCGGGTTGTCACACTTGTCAAGCTAAATCCAGCAAAGAGTTTTGTCACCGGAATGATGCTCCCGGTCAATTTTGCTTGTTCCAGCACTCTCCATTGGATGATTTTGGCTGAGCTTCCTGGGTCAACCAAAACACACTTAATTTTGAAATCTAAAACATTGAGAGAGATTACCAAAGCGTCATTGTGTGGCAGGAGAAGTCCGTCAGCATCTTCCTCCGTGAAGATGATATCATCTTCCGCTACTTCCCAAAGCCTCTTGTTGTGAGTCACTGATATCTTTGTTTTCTTTGATGCCGAGAAGGTCACATCATTGACTTCATTTCCCCCGAAGATCATGTTGATAGTTAATCTAGGGGTGCCTTCTATCACCTTCGAAGACTCTGCATTGTTTCGACTTCGGCCGTAGTTGTTCTGGGCTCAATCACTTAAAAACTCCCTAAGATGTCCATTCTTTAGCAATGTCGCCACCTCTTCACGAAGATGTCAGTAGTCCCCAGTTCTGTGTCTCTGAGTCCCATGGTATTCACACCATAAACTAGGATCCCTCTAGCTAGGGTCTGACCGAATTGGCTTCGAGAACCATGCTTTTTATTTTATTTTATATTTCTCATTGCCGATACCAACTCTACTAAGGTGATGTTAAAGTTGTAGTCTGACAGCTTGGGATATGTGGAGTCTCGGGCCCCTGGTACCTCCTTTTTTTGTAATGACCCGTTGTTGCGGCCACGGTCTGCTCTTCTATTAGGGGCAGACCTATCCGATGATCGAAACTCTTTGCTGCTACGACCCTCGGTTCTTTTGTACGGCAGAAAATAGCCTCTAGCCGACATCCGATCCGCATCAAAGTCTCTTTTAAACTTGTCGTGGTTTTTGTCTTGACCTCATCCCATAGTTGATATCGGGAATCCGAGCTGATCATCTTATATCCTTATTTTTGATTCATAATGGTTATGAACATCCTCCCATGTTGTTGCTTGAAACTCGAGCAGGCTTTACTTCAGCTTTCGGGGGGGGGGGGGGGGAATCGGAGCTCCGTGGATTTAGACCCTTTGTGAATGCTTCTGCTACCCATTCATCCGGTACCGTTGGTAGCAACATCCTCTCTTTCTAGAACCGAACCATGAATTCTCGCAGCAGTTCGGACTCGCTCTGCGAGATCCTAAATATGTCCTCCTTCTGGCTTGAACCTTCCTTGCTCCGGCATTGGCCTTAATGAAGGACTCTACAAGCATCTCAAAAGAGTCAATTGAGTGTTTGGGTAAAAGAGAATACCAAGTTAGCGCCCCCTTCGTGAAGTTTTTCACCAAACTTCTTTAGCAAGATGGACTCGATCTCATGTTGAGCCAAATCATTCTTTTTCACAACTATGGTGTAGGTTGTGATGTGCTCCTGCGGATCTGAAGTCCCATCATATTTTGGTATGTACGGCCTCTTTGGAATTAACTCTGGTGCTGTACTAGGCTTAAACGACAATTGCGTGTATTTTTTTCGAATCTGGGCCTTTTAGTACTGGCAGTGCGCTCGGAATCTGATCTATTCGAGCTTGAAACTCCTTCTCATTTTGATCCATCCGTTCGTTCATTTTCCTCATAAACCTCATGAGCTCGATTTTGAAGGGATCATTTCCGTTGTTATTCCCAAATCCACTACCGGTCCCTCCGGCTTCGTCGAAACTGAATTAATCCATTGGGGTGTTGTTATCGACCCTCTGAGTTGCTTGGTTTGCAGGAACACTGGGAGAAATCGGGCATTTTTCATTCGCATTATTGGAGGCGCCTGACAAGGCCTGCTTTAACTCAGTCATCACCCGATCCTGCTTTGAGAGGTGTTTCATGATCGCTTTTTGTTGTTCTCTCAAGATTTTTACTGTTTCCACGACATGTTCATTCTCCGCATCATCGGGAGTTGGTTCCTGCACATGCTAGGGGTATTGTCTCTCACGAACCGGGGTTGTTTCATCACCTTCGTTACAGGTGTCGCTGATTGAGTCATTGTGTTGAGGCACATCTTCGCGTTCATCAATGTTGTGTGCGATGTTGACATCATTAGCTGCCATATCTGGTTTCTTACTAAGGAAAGAATCAAAACGAGTTGGTAATAAACGCAAGGATCAAAGCAGTCACGCAACTGTCTATGCCCACGGTGGGTGCTAAACCGTTTACCCGCAAAACGGTACTGTTGACTTTGTTACGTAGTTAATAGACAAGTGAATTGATTTGATCTAAAAAATTATTAGAGATAGGCAGAATACATAAGTGAACCCTTAGACTTGGCCCTTTTTTTCACTTGGACACCTAAACATAGAGTTGTTCCGGCACTTCAACTAAATCCCATGTGTGCCAATTACATACTTTATAGTGACATGGCAGACGTTGTGGGGAAGGGAGTATGAACATAGAAAAACTTGCTATTTATTATTATTATTATTGTTATTATTATTATTGTATCCTAATATATTACTCCTATTAAAGTTCTAACATTTTCCCTCTTCTTCTATTTTTCTTCTTCTTCCCGTCAGAACCCATCATTTTTCCTCTTAATTTTTTTGCCCTTTTTTTTTTGCATATAAAGCTCACTTCTTTGAAGCTATCTTGAATTTGGTTACATCTTCTTCACATCTTGAAGTGCTGGTGGCTTCATTGAAGGTCACCCGTTCGATTTGGATATCGATTTCTCCGCTCACTCACAATGTCGAATAGACCGAAATCACCTTCTTTAAGAGAAGTTTCTTGTTCTTGTGGGACTGTTGCAAAATTGCGAATTTTATGGACTCCAATAAACCAGGTCGCCGTTTTTTTTTTTTTTTGTTGCAAAATTGAAGGCAAAGGTGCTTGCAAATTTATCAGGTGGTATGACGATGAGACACGTGAGTAAGCTAAGAGCGTGATTTCTGGTTTATGAAAATGAGTAAAAAGTTTGAATAAGAGAGGGATCAAGTAGTGGGAAAATTGAAGATTTTGGTCAATGTGTTGATATTGCCGTTGATTTGGAAATGGCTGTTTGGTTCACCTTGTCCCAATTGAAGTTGTAGCTCTTTTTGTTCATTTACTGAAAATGAGTTTCAATTTGTTTTGGGGGTTGATGCTATAAGGTGGAATGATTTAATTATGTGGAAAAAGTTTAGTGGTTAAATTTAAGGTGTTATAGGCAATTGTAATACACACGTGGAATTTTTTTAAAGTTTTTCTCGGATGGTCTAGAAAGTGTGTTAGTGGCACAAAAAGGGTTTAGTTGATGTGCCTCATAGGAACAACTCTATGTTTAGGTGTCTACGTGACAAAAAAGGCCAAGTTTAAGGGTCCACTTAACAATTGAAATTGAAGAAGATAACAAGCCTGGCTCCGAACACAGTGTCCCCGAGAGCAAAATATAAGTAACTATAAAATGAAAGAAATCTGTTGATCTTAAAGCAAAATAGTAAAGTATAGCCTTTTTGTATAGAATGTTGCATGTGTTTACAACAACTGCTGAGCCTACTATTTATAGCTCTACCAAGGGAAATAAGATCCTATGATCAAGCTGCTCTTAAATGATAATAAAAGAGTCATTGATAAATATGTAACGGCAGGCTATGAATGCAGATATTCTCTGCAACGATCGCTCATTTAATGTGAGATAATATTCCCTCATTGAATACTATCCGATGGCAAACCCTCGATCTTCTCCCGTTGGCTATGCTCCCTTCGGGATTTACTTGATGTCGGTTGCATTCGTTGTATCCGATATTGGTTGTTATCTGACTTGCCTTTCGCCTATCTTTAGTTCCACGTGTCATGTTGTCAGTTGACCATTTATCATAAACAAATTTTACCCCATACCATTAGTCCTTATAGTCGTGAATTCATGGGACGACAGATAACTACGTTTTAATTAGTCTGTGGTACATTTAGCCACTACTTCAGTCTTAAGTCGTAACTACAACAGACTGCAAACGATAATGAGTCATTTGAATGTTCGACTCCTAAATGGAATGATGAATACTATGGAAAACCAGATAAGTTCAGTAGGTCGTACTGCTCCTTTTGTTGAATATTTATGCCTCACAAAAATATGTCTATTTGTGACTCCGAGCTCAACTGTTCCCTTAATTTTGTTGATTGTTACAATTGAATAAAGAATTGATAGTACAACATTTACATCATTTTGGTTTTTTTTCGGAATTTCCATTAGTTATGTTATTAAACCAAATTTCTTGCATTAGTAAGGTTATTCTCTATTTAGGTGCATCAATTTGAGAAATTTTATTTTGTGTCTCACATTTCATGTCATACTTATGTGAGGTCCTTAATTACTTGACAAGTGGATTCATAGGTCCCATTTGTTTACTTTGAAGATAAAACTAAAAAGGGCAATTTAAAAATTATTTAATATGTCTAACTAAAGATAAAAGTAACTAATAACTCAAAATGGTAAAAAAAATATATGCATTTAAAAAGCTAATAACCTTTACTTCCGTTCAACAACACACATGAATTTTCCTTTACTTGTGTTGAAGAAGAAAAGCAAAATAACCTTTTGCTCAAAGAATTGAAATGAAGGATGTACATGCTGCCGACGATATTAACTTTACGCAATTAGGTAAGACCTTTGTATCTCGAGATTCTATTCGATTACGTAATTTTTTAGTCTGCTCATTATTTTAGAGTATGAAAAAATTTAATCTTATATATTTATTGTTACTTATATGTAAATATTTTACTTTATTGTTTAGATCATAATGGCGTTAATGTTCAAGGTTGTTCTAAATTGGTGCATAATGTGATTAACATCGACAACGACTTTGCTTTTAGGATAGGGAGGAAACTTTGTTCTGAAAATGAATCATATGAAGCTTATAATTCCTATGCTGTGGCAAAAGGTTTTGGTGTTCGAAAAGGTGCAAAAACTTATAATAGAAACAAAGAATTAACTAGATGTTTATTTCTTTGTTCTTGCGAAGGGCAATCCCCGTTGTGTTCCGATTATCAAGAAAAGAAATGTCAAAGGTTAGAATATAGATGTGGTTGCATGGCTCGCATAAAGTTTAAGATTTCAAATGGGGTATGGGAAGTATTTGAATTTTCTGATGAGCATAACCACTCGATGGTAAAGAAAAATTTGAGGCATTTCATATCGTCTGGTCGACGGATTACAGATGCTACTAAGGATATTCTTAGTTCTATGGTAGATGCTGGTATTCGTACTAAAAAAGCTGTCAGATACCTTCAAAAAGAAGCAGGTGGAATTGAAAATGCTGGATTTATTGAACAAGATGCTCACAGTTTTATACAAGCACGTAAGAGAAGTATGATTAATTGTGGAGATGCTCAAACTCTTTTGAATCATTTTATGCATAT